ACCCGCGCGACCCGTGACCCGCATGGGCTCGACCCGGATGGGTCAGCGGGCGGGCCTGGGTTGTAGTCCAAAATTGTGGGCCGACCCGTAACCGGCCCGGAACCCGTAGCGGGCGGGCTTTTTTTCACGCGGGCCGTTACCGGGCTCATATGTTAGCTGGCCGACCCGGTCCGGACCACCCGGATTGACACCTCTACTCGCAATCTGAAAATCACAAATAGAAGAAAACAAAAACCAAAAATTCAGCACAACACCGCCGCCACCTCGCAATCTGAAAACCACAAACAAAAAAGGAAACACAAACCACAATCGCCACTTCAGATCGTGGCTGTGGTGGGGTCAACGGCGGCGAGAGAGAGGAGGGTGTAGAGAGAGAGAAAGGGTTTGGGGATAAAGAGAGAAAGAGAGAGGAAGGTGGGGGGTTGTGGCTGTGGGTTGGTAGTCGTCGGCGATGTGTGCACCACTGGTGGAGGCCGCCAGTTAGAGAGAAGAGAGAGAAAAAGGTGACGAGGTTGGGATTTGGGGGAGAAGTGTAGAGAGAGAGGTGGGGGCAGGCCAGTTGCTGTGGGTTAGGGGTTTAGTAAATTAATTATTTTATAAAGATATTAATTAAAATAAAACTTCTGGTTTTTGAAAGATAAAACATCCTACCTGATTAAATCAGATCTCCAAAAGTAGGGTTTGATATAATTTCCACTTTAACTATTGTATTTTGAAAAAATGAACACAAAACTGAGTCAGTCCATGCAGGGCCACATGTTGAAAGGCCTCCCAGTCCATTTGACACCCCCTAATCGAAAATTACTATGTATTTTGGTGTGTATATGATTTAATTTAAAGAGCACTCTATTTTTCGAGAAAAATATGTTTTGAAATAGTAATTTTTTTTAATAATATGTCGTTAAAAAATAGAAAAAAAATTTAGAACTGCCTTTAAAATTATTTTATGAGAAAATATATGATTGAAAATTATTTTTATGAAAATGAGACTCAAATAGGGGCATATAAACTCCTTTTTAATCAATTGTTCTGCATGGGCTTTACTCTTTTTAGTTGTAAATTTGCTAGTATTTAATGATCAATTTTTTGTTGGATTTAAAAAATTTAATAATTAATTACCAAACTTATAAATGGTATAAAGTAACACTCGCTTTTTATGTGGATTTGAGGGACTGATGCTTAAGAGAGGCTTTTTACATCAAACTACCTTAGATTCTATTGATAGGGCTTCTGCTTTTATTTCTACTTTTTGTAGAAGAACTTTTAGATAAAGGTATTTTAAACTATCTTTCTCTAAAATCTCTTCTAACCAGACAAAGTAATTTCAAGATTTTATCGAAATATGTTCAAAAGCAACTTCTTCATTTTCAAAGTAATTTTTGACTTTTGAAAAGCCATATCAAATGTACCCTTTATTGAAGGAAACTTATTATCTAAGCATATCTTTCGTAATCTTCTAATCTTCTACTTAGGGTAGGGTTTTTTCCAATTAGAAATTTTGATGATTCTAATTTTTTTAGGGGGGTGTTTGAGCACCATTATTTTTTAATAATATAAATTGGAATAGTAGATTGATGGAGAATGTGTGGTTAAAAAAGAAAGTAAATTTTTTGATTTTCATGTAATATTATTTTAATAAAGAATGTGTGGTTGAAAAAAAAACGTATTTTGAGAAAAATAGGAATCAAACATCACGTCAATCCCACTCTAGACCTATCACATGTTATATATACTGCAATACGAAAGTAAGGAAGTTGTTACAATTTGTTTCCCACAAATACAATTGTTCTTTCTTTCTTTCTTTCTTCTTTTTTTTCTTTGTTTTTTTTTTTACGATTCTTTTACGAACAAAATCCCAACGAGTAATATCATGACATATGTGTTGCTAAAAGATACCTACGATAATTAGCTAAAGTATATCTGCATAAATTGGAATGAAGATGTGAGGACTGAAGATGTGAGGACGATAATGTGACTTTTCAAAGGTTATATTGTGAATTAGGGTGGTTTTCCAAAATTATTAAGGATAAAAATTATTCCAATCTTTGTCTCAATATTGGTTGGTCTAGTTGTAGTCCCAAACACTAGATTATGTGAAGCTTCGACAGGTAAATAAAGAAAACACTAGAATATGTTAAGATTATTTATTTTAGTCTCCATCGAATACATATGAAGAACGATCAAAGGAAAAAGCCACGAAGCATCACTTGTACTATAACATTAGTTTAAATGTCTTTAAGCGATACAGTCATCTTACATAGACTCGATTTTCTAATTTTAAAATGGTCCGTGAATTAGTGACATTTGAATTCTACCAAGATGGATATTTAGTATCGATGGTGCTAAAAATTATTACTCGAGATAAAATAAAATAATTTAAGATCTATATGATTTCAAATTACAGGTATTAAGTAACAAATAATGTTGCTTTTATCTATGAATGTTGATGCCGTTACAAGGCCTTTTTCCTTTCGTTTAGTCGGAGAGAATGATACTCTCTAGAAATCTACAAGTCATTTCAGATATAAATAAGTGTTTTACACGTTTATTTAGATCCAAAAATAACGTTTAATTAGGATCACTTGAGGAAATTTCTTGTATTTTATTTATTTTTTATAGATTAAACCCACAATTTGAAAATGATTGATGCAAAAGGAGGAAAGTTTAGTACAAAAATCTCGAGTGAACAAATGATATACCATTAAAAAGATTATTGTATTTGGAGTTTAACTCAAAAAACGAATTCAATTTGGATATTTGGATCAAAAGTTGTGTGTAATTAGTCAGGCAGCACGACTTGGGCCACCCCAACTACGCGGGATATGCATCCCCGCAAGAGTGTCGTGGTTATGGGGGCCTCGACCTTGGGTATTCTGGGATCTAAGGGTACAAATCTTCGAAGGAAAATGCAAAATATGAAAAATCTTATTTTCATTTGCTAACAGTGAGAAAATGCTGCATAACTAAGTACCCAAAGGACACTCTTTTCTTCGAAAAATCGAGTTAGCTGGACTGGTTCAGTCCCTGGACTATTTTCTTCGGCGGTATATTAATTACCTTATACAATCTGTTCCAATGTAGAAAAACTCGTAAACTTGCGAAAAACTTTACTATTACGGAGGAATTATAGTTGTCAGCTTGATATTTTACCGATTAAAGGGTTAATCCATATACATGAATATGTTTTATGCACTTGGTTGCCATCAAATGGTGCATATTATTCTCCAAATTTTGGTAGCAATTCTCTCACCCTGAATGAATCTTACTATATGGCTGAGTGAAAAATTGGCGCTCTGTTGAGCAATTAGATACCTGCCAGTCATTGAAGAAAATATACAGACTCGTACTAAGATTTGAAATGGAGGATAATAATACTGTAAGCAGTAGGTGAAGTGCATCACATAAAGGGGGTCGATCTATGGAAGTAAAATATGGTCCAATTAGCCCTTCCTTTCAAACCTGTCATAATAGTTTCAGATTTTAACAACGATATGAATGAAACTGTGAAGAAGGGTCAGGGTCACTATTCTTTTCACAATTTTCTAGCAATAATTGTTCTCAATTTCAATTTCCAGGTCAACCAATTTCCCAACTAACACAATTCTATAAGAATCTCGCAAAAAAAAAAAAAAACCCCGTATAATGGTACCAAAACAATGTTAACCAGCAGACAGAAATGGGCAGCATTTTTTAGTTATAATCTTGTGAATTAATAAAATCCCTGAATGCAGCATCCTGCAATATGAGAGAAGGGGTTCATTATACACATTTAGCAAGAAAGAAATGCTGTCAACAAATGTACATAGAGAGTTTAAGGGCAGATGTAAAGCATGTTCATGGTAAGAAATAGTTGCATTCTATTATGATAAAAATACTACTCTAAAATAGAATAACACATTTAAATAATTGCTATCAGACTTTTAACATGATTTAATTTCCCAACATACGCATATGGAATGGTACTTCCCGAAACCTCATAAAATTGATTTAGTAACTGCTCAATGCAATGGGAACATTATAATATAATGACATCTGTTTAACATTTCAAATAATTAATATAAAAATTTTAGACCTTTTTGATTCAGTTCTTAATATAGCTTTTGAAGGAAGTAGGAAATTTAAAAGTGTAAAGTTTAACTCAGCAGTATGAAGACCTAGTATGTAATTACGCATTGCCATATGATGGATGGGAGGTCACAATTTAGCTGCATGAATCAAGCACTCTAATTGTTTCTTCCAAGTTTCTAGAACGGGGATGTTTTTGAAACTACAATCCGATAATGTAATGGGCAAACCTATGCTGGACCTGAACAGATCCCAGAGAGGGCAAGACCAGGAAGATATGCCTCGGCCACCCTAGGCTTGTGTCATGAGGCTTGAAACTCTTTAAGTCAAGGCCAAGCCTTCACAAGGGCCAATTAAAGTATAAGCTTTAAGGCCTCTAACAAAAGCTTCACATGGAGGCAGACCTCAAGGCATGTGCCTTGGGCACTTCTGTATTATCAAACTACTGATCCAAAATTCATCCTCAAAATGCAACAGAAATATCCTGGATAATAAGTAATGGTGCCTCCAATTATAAGAACTTAAAATTTCAACTCTATAATAACACGATGTGACATGCACTAATAAAAACAAGTGAATAAAATAAAAACTAGAATGCACATTAAAACTACGAAAAGGTCCGATAATTTAGGAAGGAAGATTGGGGAGGGCCGCAGCCAGCGCACACTGTAGCTCCACCAATGGAATCAGGGATATAATTATAATGAGAATTCAAAGAATTGACGTCATACGAAATAAGGGTACTCACATTTCATATAGAGAAATGGAAATTAAAAATAAATCTGAGCAAGAGGAAGGTGCAACAATATGATGGCTTTCAGAAAGGTTAAATATATCATTGGTCGGTGAATTATAGTTCATGTTACTATTTAATAACTGAACTTGGAACATTACCTCATTGGTCACTGAACGGTCAAGTGCATTATCCATCCATCACTGTGATGGATTCGATTTCATCTCTTTTATGGAATTGCCTACGTGGCAGACAAAATTCCAGCACCACTTAGCCATTATATATCGCCACTCAACAAAACGAAAAGAAAAACAATATTAAAAAAATAAATAAATTTCTTCTTCTTCCTCATATATACCACCCCTATCCTCGCCCCACCCCACCCTAACAAGCACTTCTCATCCGACTCCCACGTTCCAACTACCCCCTCCACTGCCGCAACCGCCAAAGAAGAGAATGCTCTTACTTTGAGCTGCACCGTAGTTGTTAACAGAATTGCCCATCCATTTGACTCTTCAATTTCTGGGCAAATAACCAGATCTCCAAGCTTCAACAAAAAGGAATACTCTTGCTTAGAGCTGCACCATAGTCATAGCCACTACCAGACAATGCCAAAGGCAGAACCCCAAGCACCAAAAACATGGAAGTCATTTTAATAGTCCCAAAGTGTTAACAAAAATCAGCCTACAACTGTTGTTTGATATAATACGGTCATTCGGCCAGAAACTTACTGCTCCAGAACAGTCGAGGGAGAGATTCGTGTAATTAATTGTGCTTTAATTGAGGTTTGCTTATTTTAACTATGTGATATTGTAATTGGGACAGTTTTCATTATTAACAGGTTACCAAAAGAACAAATTAAAGGAACTCAAAGCATCATTTACATTTTTGGGATATTAACTATAAGGTCATCTTGTTATTCAAGGAACTCAATGCAATAAGATAGATTGGTTCAAACAATAGCAGTTCATAGACGACACACGTCAAGGATTGCATTTTTAGGTGGTGGAGGAAAAGTTGGGATGCAGTTGTTTGGGTGGGGTGGGAGCAGGTGGAAGTGGGGTGTCTAGAAAGGAGAGAGGTGGTTGTTTGGGTAGGTAGAGGGGGGAGGGGAGGGGAGGGGAAGTGGGGTGTAACAAAAAAGAAGACATTATTTAGTTTTATTTTATCATTTCACACCATCAGCTACGTAAGCAATTCCATCAAAAGGATGAAACATAGTCAGCCCCAGTGATGACGGATGGGTAACATTTGAGAGTTCAATGACAAATAAGATACGTTTCAAAGTTCCAAGTGTTAAGCAGTAACGTGAACTACAGTTTAAAGACAAATGATATAAAAGTTGAGAATATAGTTACAAATTGAAATTTAAAGATCTATATCAAATACCTCAATTATCTTTAGTCGGATAATGCTTTAATCAACATATTATATCCTCACAGAGTTAACAACTAACTGTCTTTCTACTTAATTTTTAAATATTCTCATATCTGAAGACAACAGTGATGTATATGCATTATAAAAGTTATCATCACTAGGGTGACAGAGTGAGTAAGTTTATGAACTATAGTCTGTCTTCAAATAAATTGACCACAGAAATGAGAAACTCATGAAACTCACATTCAAATGTTTTGCTGAGAATTTTAAAAAAAAGAAAAGAAAGAAAGAAAGATAAAAAAAAGTAGTCTGTACCAAAAGGAATGTAAAACCTCTGTGAAGCCATGAAATATACTTGAGACAATCTGGACTGCAACATGAGAAATTTTTCATGGCACAAGCACCAGAAACTTTGAAAATGACTATGCATCGCATGAACTCACTGAAAATATAAAAATCAAATAAACTTGCAGAAGTCAGGTACAGGTAATAGAATATCATCGCGAAGTATCAAGATTAATTTACTGAAAGTACAAGCTGCATATGTCTGATAAAACAAATAAAACATTTGAAGGTTTCTTTTGATCAAGGCCAATGTTCTCTTGGTTAATCATTCCTGTTTCTTGGCAACAAAAGATACTGATATACTATTCTAATCAAGGCCAAAAATGTGAAATTGAGCCATCTTAACTTGAGCAGAACTGGGATATAATGCACACAGAGTACATAGCAAATTTTAGAGGTTTGCCATACGCTGACGATTCCACAAAATAGTAGATAATTGCATGTGCAAAAGAAACACAATTGATTTCGAAGTACTAAGGCACAATATCCAGTCAAGTTGTATCCAGAATTTTCCTCTATTTACATAATAAATGATGAGAATAACATAATAGTCTTGTGTCTGACCAAATATACAATTTAGGGGGGACAAATACATTATTAGAATCAAAAAGAGAGAATCCAAACCACAAACCAAAATAAATAAATAAATAAAGGAGCTGTACCATGGAGAACAGGGAAATAAGAAAATAAGGGAATATGATAGAAAGAAAGACAAGGTAAAAAAAAAGGAGATCGTGCCCATAAATTTAGCTCATTTGGCTAACAAGAAGAAAGGGAAAAAAATGATGACATAAAATCTATCTTTTTAAACCATAAATATTTTAGCAGAAATGGCATCACCTAAATATTGGAAGGCAAGATTGATGTTAAACAATTTTATGCAAAATTTCCCCACCCTTTCATTTCTTTCCCATGATATCTATTCTTTCTGCCCTCAAAAACTATCAAAACACAATACTACAAGAGCTCATTCTTTCCCCTCCATTACCCTAGATTCAAAAGCATTGTAAAATACCACACTACGCTTTATAAGTTGTTCCTATTGAAAATAGATTACTTATAAGAATTAAAATATCAAAAACGAACCAAAAGAATTTTATACAATAACATAACGGAATATTAAGTCCCTGTTTGAGGCACATTACACAAAAACTCATTTTCCCCAAATATATTTTCAATCACACATTCTTTCAATAAAATAATTTTATACATAAACCCAAAACTTTTCCCTAACTTTTAACCACATGTTCTCTAAAAAATCACTATTACAAAACACATTCTTTTATGGAACTCAAACACACCCTAAACTAATTAGACGTTAAAAAGTCCTCAACGGGAGTCCTCGAGTATACAACCTATTTGAAATAGAACTTACAAAGACAAATAGATCTGAAAGTCTTCCAAAGAATGATTGCACATAATTCTCAATCAAACAATCATTTATCAGACAATTTTAAATAAAATCAATTTTTACACAGTACAATAGTATCATGGTTGACATTTTTTTTTTGATAGGTAGTATCATGGTTGACATCACACTTAGTTAAGTTCATAATATTGGAATATCTTTTCTCAAATTTTGAAATATTCACCAGCAGTTAGTGCAGGTTCATAAATACGAACATGTTACAATTCCTACTTAATGCAAATATGCAGCCAGTTCTACACTTGTTCTACAGTGAAGACCAGGTGAGTATTTTATCCAAGTCAAATTCAAAATTAAGCTTTCAACCCACCTTTTAAAAGCCAGTACTCTTTGAGATGTAGTCCGCAGGACGATATAGTCTCATTTGTCATCTTCACTGCTAGTTATTCCTTTGTCAATAAGAAAGATCATCCAGAACGTGACTACTAAAAATAAACCATCCTCTTTGCTTCTACTGGTTCTTAATATAAATGACTCCTTCAAATGATCCTTATTTTTCCTGAATGTATGCACTGAACTTCTAAAATTCATAGATATATTGAGATGCTGATTTTTATGAGAAAGACGACAACATCAGATCTCTGTGTCTCAAGTATTTTTATCCTCTTCTTTAGTAGGATAATTAATCCCCAAGTGATCTTCAGAAATAGCAGGTGCGTCAGAGGTACAAATGCAACTACTTATGGTGCAATGTCATACATGGAATTTTTAAAGCATATTAAGACGGCACATGTCTATTAATATTCCCACTACACAATTTTTTGTGGACGGGACAAGTTCTTATGAAACTAAGTGTAATGAAATGAGCAATTTCAACTGAATTCAAAAATTGATCAATAAAGGAACTGCGAATAAACAAGATTAGACCTTGGAAACCAGTCGCATTGATCTTCTAGGGAAAACATTCTGACCAAGTCTGTAGGCACTTCTTAAAATTCTCCCATCATGTTGATGGTAGCTTTCCTGGTATAAACCATTATTCCTCTTTCTCTTGTGACCTCTGCCAGATACACAGTCTTCCAATCTTTTCTTTGATATCCTGGTAACATGCAAATGTCCCCCAAAGAATATCATTTGATGCCACGATTACCACATTACATAAAAAGTCATAAGAAAGCCATAGAATGAGAGAGGTGATTACTGAGAAGCTTTTGACCCATCAGGCCCGCCCCCTTTCTGCAAAGAAGAAGACAGTTTCGTTATCTACCAGCAGAAAAGCAAAATACATGGCTTATGCAGAACATGCTGCTAAGAGATATCCCAAAGAAACTAAAAATAAAATCTTCACTCTCTCCCAACAAGGAAAAGAAAAGGAAAAAATATCAATGTTTGTCTAATATGGTAGATATATAGCGTATTACTTGTAAGTTACAAGCATTGATTACTTTGTCTACTCTCAATTAAGTTATTAAATTCACAGTATATGTAAACAAAGTGTCTCTAACCACCAACTTGATTTGACTAGTGCTGAATTATGTGCAAGAAATGGCACTAGACCATAAGAGTTATAAGCTTAAAAACTATGGTCAAGGAATCCCACACAAGAAACAAGATCAGAAAGATGAAATTTAAAATAGATTACTGATTCATCAGCAGTTGTGGGTACATAATCCAAAGAAGCATTGTGATGGACTTCAATGGCGTTAGCCAAACCAATGTTTCCTGTTTCTGCTACATCTACTGCAACGAAGCCTAATGAATCATCATTTACCACAGTAGAATATGACGCATTTTGTCTAAGCATTGCAATGCCAGACAACTGCATCTCAACAGCACCACTTGCTGTCGAAATAGAACTTGGCACTGTGCAGTTATCTGGTCTGTAACTCTTCTTCAGATCTTCATGACACTTCACACGACCAAGCTTCGTATTATGATTCTCTGGTGTGCTTACCAGTCCATTTGAAACCATACTAACACAATTTCCACGGAGTTTTATTGGAGAAGTGTGAAACACATTTAACTCCTTGGTTTCTGTTTCCCCATTTCCTGTACAAGATTTTATACCAGGAAGTGGCACATTCTGGATATAGGCATTAAGTCTGGGAAGGCGTAGAACTTTATTTTTATCTTGCAAGTGCATAGACATTTCTACAGAGACAACGCATGGTTTTGTCATCATATTACTTGAAAGCCCATCATCTGCATCTGGATGTTCAATTCTCGACTTGCTATTTTTTCTAGCGAATGAATCCAGGGAAGGGTCGGTATGTGCACAGTAACTACTAATTCTAAACCCTGCATCCACATTACCCATAAATGAACCCATCAGTTCTTGACGAAACCTCTGAAATTTATCCATTTGCAAATCCTGAAAAATGCGCACTTCATTTTCCAATCTCTTAGACCAATCGGGCAGGCTCGAACTCAAATCGACGAAAAGGTTTATTCCTTCTTCTGATCTGACACAAAACTCCAAGGAGGAAACTGAAGTAGAAGATTCAAGAGGAATGGCACCATCCATTGTAGATGTACTATCTATATGTTGAGATCCAGCTATACTGCCAACGGAGTCTTTTTCCGCAGGAAAAAAATTGTTCATGCCAGCACTGATTTGATGGGACTTCCGAGGTCTCAAATTATATACATCACACTGAGTAAGGTTTTGTGAGCAGGTATTTTCCTGTTTCTTGCTGTTGGAATGTTTTTGGATGTTGGACGTTGAGCACCCGACTTTTTCAACATTTTTGAATTCAGAAACCTGAATTAACGAAATACAAGCAAGATGAGTTTCCAAAAGGGTTAGTAACAGACAAGTTCAAATGCTTAAATGACCTACTGTCCCAAAGATTCAACTCTTTTTCATATTAATCGGCAAGCCAAAATGTGCATTTTACAGGAAGAGGAAATTATTTTGTTCTCAATGAAATGAAAAATGATAAGATGCTTTTCAATATATTGAAGTGGGACATCAGGCTGAAGCTCTACCATGGATAAGCTATTTGATCCTGCCCATGGACTATACAATGAAGGGCAGGAAAAAATCTTCCATTGGACACGAGATAGCCTATGTTATCATTGCAAACCTTGTCCCCTATTTTTTTTAAAACTAATTCACAGACATTTCAATAAACCACATGGAGAGATTGTATAAAATGATCCTATCATATAAAGAAAGATAAGACAAACAACCTTATCATGAACTCCTGCCTCCTTGAGATTTCCTACTTCATTGGTTTTAACAATTTGAGAGTGAATTTCCTGGTCATCCTTCTCTCTCGAATGACTATAAATCCGATGACCGTGTACAAAAGATGAAGTAAATTTTCCTTTGCGGCCTTCTACACCTAAAAATTAGAATATTAGACATTTCATAGTTGCAGTATATCATCAGGCATAAAATACAATTTGACACAGACCTTTATTGACTTTGGTTGCCTCACTCAACTGCGCTCCAGAAAGCAGTTCTGTTAGCAGAGATTTAGAGCACCCATTCGAACTTTCCACTTCCGAAAATAAATTCAAGTTGATCTTCTGAAAATTTGTCAAATATCAGGAACATGAAAGTTATATATGCTATGGGACCTAAAGAAACCACATGGTAGTAACACACAACATGCAAGTCATTTAATTGTTATCTGTAAAACATGCAAATGAAGTTTATGCTACCTGTGAACATTGCCCATTGATTACATTGATCTAGAACAGGTGTATGGTAGGGTTTTCAGAATGTATTACGCTGGGCTTGACGAAAGAGAATAAAAACTAGGTTTATGAATGACATCAAGATTATGTTGGAAAGGGCTATGACCATAATCCTTACTATCATTAGTAGAGTTCAGCGAACCTCCAGTCCTGTAAAGGTTTCAGCAACGATCAACTTTAAGTCAACATTGTTTTATTTTTTCAGTTAAGCTATCAAAGGGCATACACTATCAGGTCCCATGAAATAGATTTTGTGGATCGCATTATATTGGTGACGGGGACTAAAAAGGGACCACTTCGAGATTAAAATTGTGTAGAGTACGTGAAATGAAATACGTCAATTTGAATTACTTCTAGAAGGTAGTAAAAGCTCGTGGTCACAAAATATCAAAAAGTGACCATTTGGCAATGCTCAGGCTCACGAGGAAGAAATCAATCATGATGTTACTCAAAAGAAATTGCCTATAGGTTTTTTGTGATCATCACAATGAAGTAAATATTGATAAGAAAAGTATATACAAAAGTGATCATTCCCTAAATTGAACTCAAGTGGCAATGTCTTCCAGATGAACCTTTCTAAGTTACTCATTACTCAAATTTATTATCGCAAATATGGTTAACGTCAATTAATTAGATGAGAATATATAAAACATACATAGAAACCATCACAATGAAGTAACTATTGATAAATAAAAGTGCATTTTAAGAATGACTCCAACCCTTGGTTGGGGTTCTTAGCTACTCACATTAGACACTTAAGAATTATCAAAATAATTTAGGGCACATTTGACATGGTCCTGTTTGGGTTTCAAAAGCTCATTTTGACTTTTTAAAAGTCATGTCAAATTGGTCATTAATCCTGTTAAAAGCAACAATAAGAGAGGTTAACCGCTAGGGACATCGACAAGAGAGCATGTAATTAAAATTATTTGGTTACCACTTGAATTCACCAAGATTTTAATCAGTGCTTAAACACTCGATTGGTAAGTCAGAGAGAAGATATAACCACGAAAAGAAAAAAATTTACAAGAACTTAATTCTAGGTGGTGCAAAGAAAGGATGTTGAAAGGAAATCGACAGGAGAGCATGTGTCACAATTATTTTGTTACTACTAGAATCCAACGAGGTTTTCAGTAGTGAACGCTTGAACGGTGAATCACAAAGAAAGATTTCACCTCAGAAGGACACAAGTTCACAATGTACAACTTTTAGGTGTTGTTGAGCAAAGGATACTGAAAGGGGAGTTTACCCTTGAGATCTCATAACCTCTGTGGTTAATCAAGCTTAGTATTAATCCGCTGTGGCAACGTCACTTAAGGGCAAAAACAAGAAAAAAGAATTCTGGCGCAAGAATATATATTAGTTTATAAAATGAGAATAACAGCAATGGATTGCAAAAACTAGGATAAGCCATGACAAAAGAAATTAAAGAGTGAATGCTTTTCGAGTTGTTTTTCGGCTTGTTATCTAGCCATGGAATTATTACATTGGGTCCTAAAAAAACTGGGTCCTAGGTGTAACGACCCGAGCTTCGTGCCCTATCTCATACATATGATATAACAGCTTGGCACGAGGCTCGAGTTGTTACTAAGACACCTGCAAAACTGGCAGGGTTAGATAGAACCAATTGACATTGTCTTGCCTTTGTTTCTAAAATCAAAAAGGACGCTTTGCTCGACCAATAATAGTAGGCACATAAATGTTAACTTTGCATTCCTGTAGTGATTTTGTTTTCTGGTGTTTCTGTGTCTTCTAGTTACTTTTCCAATCCGTTAGGCATGTGCCAGACGTGGTTCAGCATGGGCACTATTGTCTTTTCTTATTTTAGGGAAACAAGGTTCTTTATTCTTGCTTAAATAAATGTTTCTATCAGCTCTCTTAAGGGCTCTTTTGCACTGGGAGCTTGAATCTGTTTAAACTTTTATTGCTTCGCTGAATTTCTCTTTGCTGCTTATCCATTTGAAGTTGATTATTGCTTCCTGCGACACTAGGACTGAGACATATGTCATCATTATTTCTATCCATGTACCTCTATCTTAAAATGTCATATATAAAAGGAAACACAATGAATATTGTTAGACAGTCGCCAAGTGTAAACATTTGAGCTTTTGATGATATATGTCGTTAATATATACATTAAGCTTCATAACTTTTCTGACAAGCTATAACAAAACATAAAAAGTCAGAAAAAATGGTAATAAAATCAATTTAAGAAACTAAATTCGATCCTTACTAGTAAGAGAAACAAGTGCCATCTTTCACATAATTCAGTCCCACTTTTTAATACATCATATTGATATTTAACATATAATATGCTCCCTCAGATCCAAGCAACCTAAATGATAAATTGATATCGTTGGCATATATGTAAAATAAATACCACAGCAGATAAACGATAAATTGATAAATGCAACAGTTATTTAAATTGTTTAGCATGAAACTTTTTAAATAATTGAAAATAGTTCAAAATGTAACTAATAAAATTCTGAAATAAGTAAATTTGACCTTGTAATTGGGGCGCAAAGATTTGAGCAAATCAGCTTTAGTCTTATAAGGAGACAGATCATGCTCCCTACACAAATCCTGAAGCTCTTTCTTCGTAGCGTAGCGTTTGAAATTCGATTCGCTAGTTGGGGTTTTCGCCATTTCCATTTACGGATAAACCCTAACAGTTTCTGGATCGTACACTCGAGAGTCAGAATTGAAATAAGAAAAGATTTTGGGAATTTTGATTTAAAAAACCCCCAAATAGGAATAGATAGAGATGAAATTATTTTTAGGACTAAGCAACTTCTACATAATTTATTGTAGACAAGGGTGTCCACCCTGGGTGGATGCGGTGTTATGTTCAAGTAACTTTATCCTTATTTTTAATAGTTTAAAAATAAATTATATTTAACAAGGAATATTTAAAATTCCTTTCATTGGGTAAAAGTGCCATATTTTGTTTGTTAATAAGTTTATTCACCTGAAATTAATTCTATTTTTTAAGTAATTTAATTTGATTTATGGTTTTGTTCGAGCTAATAAATTCACTCCTCGCTAAGCCCCCTATTTGTCTATCATTTTTACAAACATTATTTTTTACAGTAAACAATCTCAACCACATATTCACTCAATAAATTATTCAACACACAAATCAATAAAATTATTTTAAATTTCAACCACACATTCTTCAAAAAATATTATTCCTTACTGCATTTTTCTACCAATAATGGTAGACAAACAGGCTCTAATATTTAGCTGTAGTTGCTCATTTACTTTTACAAAAAGTTACCCATTCATCACCCGATTGTTTACATCCGTCTATCTAGAGAAAAACACACGGCTGATGAAAATCCTATAGGTTAACAAACTTCATTAATTATTGTCACGTGGACAAAAACAATTAATTGAACTTACGTTTTCCTTAATCTTAAAACGATTTATTCATCCCTAATCTAGAAATTTCAAATCAATTCATTTCCCACATCATCCCCAAACCATTTTGCCCAATGTGAATCCCAAATTAAAACGATTTCTCATAGATCTCCAAATTAACCCTAGATTCCTCAACAAAAAAAAAAAAGGACAATCTAATCATGTTCCAAAAAAGTGTCCACAAGACCCACTAATGGCAGGCATTGAAAAAGCAATTTTGAAGACAATAGAAGGACCACAAGGAAGTAAATAATTTTAACAATTTTTGATGGAATGAAACTTTAAGTACCCACATCTTCTTTTTTATATATACAATTCATGAATTTGTCGACCACCTTGTTATTAGACCACATCCTTTCATGTGATTTAGAGTCTGAACGGGATTGGATTTTGGGTTTCACGTGAATTTTTTTGCCTCATTTTATATGATTTTAGGTTTTCATAGCCTTAGGGATTCATATTACTCTATTAATGTTTGTGAAGTACACCAGCAACATGTATCAAATCTAAGCTCCTATACACTAATGACTTCCTTAACACTTCACAAACTTCACACTAAGTTACACTTATAAATATTCATATTTATAGTAGCATAGAGCTTCCCAAAATTTTATATTACTTGAAGTTCACCCATATGCTTATTTCTATATTATAGCAGTTGTAGAGTTGTATATTCGCAATGCTCTGAAACTTAACTCTGCAGATAATACATTTGAAGATGATGCAGTAGTACCATTGAATGTCATTTGAATGATTCAGACGATGATATCAACGATGATACTTTTCAATTTGACACATATTTTGGTTGGATTGAATGCAGACCCTGTTGTCGAACTTCAAGATATTGGGGAAGAAGAGATGGGATCAGATTTGGCTACTGTCCAAGTGAAGAGGATTTGCACATCGATTATTCTTCCAAAGAAGAAAACGGTTATCATTTTCCGGTTTATGATCCAGAGAACGAGAAGTTAGATCCTCAACTAGAGGTTGGAAAATAGTTTTAAAATATAGCGGAGTTTAGGCAGGCAGTTAGGAACCACGTGGTAGCAACCAGGTGCAACTTTAAGTTTTGGCCTAGTTATGAGTTTAGAGCCCAGACCAGTTGTAAATTAGGCTATACGATATGGGCATCATGGAAAAGAAAAAAAGTACGTACAGATGTAGTAAAAAAACTCATAACATACATGCATAAATGATAGAACAAATAGGCATTGCCTAAATACATAGCAAAGAGGCATTTAGAAATGTTCAAAGTTGATCCAGATTGGAAGTCTAAGCTACTTATAAAGGTTCTAAAGAACGATCTCAAGTTGATAATCAATAAAGTTACGGCATGGAGGAGTAGAAGATATGCTAGGGTAATGATACACGGATCTGATGAGCATCAGTTTGGATTGCTTAGGTCTTTTGCGGCTGAAATTTTGAGAACTAATTTGAGGTCTACATGCATTGTTGTCATGCATGCTTCAAAGTTTTAAGAAATACATATATGTTTAGAAGCTTGCAAGAGAGGGTTTTTGACCAATTGTACATAACTTTTAGGGTTGGATGGTTTTTCTTAAAAGGGATATTTGGATGGCTGATACTTCTAGCAGTGGCATTAGGTACCAATGATTGTATTTACCCAGTAGCATATGCTATAGTGGAGAAGGAGAATGCTCTTACATGGAGATGGTTTATATAACATTTGGTTGAAGATTTGAAAATTTTGAGTAACAATGAATGGACTTTTATGACAGATAGGCAAAAGGGTTTACAAAATGTGATAGAAGATTTGTATCCCGAGGCAGAACTTCAGTATTGTGTTAGACACATGTATACTAATTTCTTCAATGTCGATTTCGAGGGGTTAATTCTAAAGGAATACTTATGGAAAGCTGCAAAGTCAACAACAGTGCCTGATTGGATGTTCTGGATGGGTAAGATTGAAAAGGAGAGTCCTGCAGCACATAATTGGTTAAAGAAAAGGCACCTAAGTGTATGGAGCAAGGCTTATTTTTTTACAAAGGTGAAGTGATATACTTTTGAGCAATCTATGCTAAGTTTTCAACAATGTAGTGTTGGAAGGAAGGGAGAACTATGTTCTGACGATGTTGATTGATTTACATATAAGTGGCATGAAGAGGATACAAGCAAGGAGATACAAGATGAATAAAGTCATAGGGCCTTTATGTCCTAAAGTGCTACATAAACTAATGATGTTCGTTAAGTTAGCAGAGAGATATGAGGTTGATTGGTCTGGAGGGACACAATCTTATGTGAAATGTACGACTAGAGAATATGTTGTTGATCTACTGAACAAGACATGTACATGTAGGAGATGAGATTTATCGGGGATTCCTTGTGCTCATGCAATTACTTTTATTTTCGATAGAGGAGGTGACCCTTGGAAGTATGTACATGAGTGAGCATATATATATGAGTTGTTACGAGAATATAATCAATCCTATCAATGGAACAAAATTATGGCCTCGAGTAGATACTCCCCCAGTGAAACCATCAGTGAAGAATAAGATGTTTTAACTTGTTCTAGCCTCTAGGTCCAAAGCAAAGTTGAATAAGAAGGGTAATATGATTATTACTTGTAGTGCCTGTGGAGTAATAGGCCACAACAAGAGGTATCGTCAAAAAACTAATGCACCACAAGAGGTTGGTTTATAGTAAAATCTACATTGTGATTTTAATTATTTTCCAGACTATATGAACAATTGATCCTCGTTTAAATGCTTGTTATAGGATTGGTATTATGGGACTGCAGATATTGTAAATGAAGGAAGTTCCGGCCATGTTCTGAATGAAAGCTCAAGGGTAATCAATTTCATCCTAATATCGTTGATTAATAAACATGTGAAATAATTTTTGTAATCCTATATGACGACTTATATAGGCAAAACTTGTGCCTAGGAGACCATAGATGATGCCTATATCTAAAGTACAACCACCAAAACCAATATCTAATTTTCAATTCTTACCAACCCTTGGAATTGGTATATCTAGTGGAGCACAATTTACAGACTATGGTCCTACACTCAATGAGCTAGGCAGTTCAACAACGAGGCAAAGCTCCCCTTGAATCCTTAGTGAAACACTTACAATTGATAGATAACATAGAGAAAGAAAGAAAGAAAGAGGGCAACAATAGCAAAAAACAGAATGATTGTTCGAGTGTCAATTCCATTTGCAACTCCAAGGAAACTTCAGTAACTTAGTAGTGTTATCATTTTGTTTCATGGGTGTATTTTGGGTTTTGAAGAAAACAAACGACGCTGCACTAATATAATTTTGTGATTAATTTCTATGTTATATAACAGTTGAATGCTGTGAATTGGAAATTAATTTGGTACAATGTTGAACTTAATCAGATGCACTTAGAATGAAATTTTGTTATTAACTTGTTATTCTGGTAATCATTGTTGAATTCCAAAATACTATTTTTACAAACTAATTATACGTTTTTTCAGGCCCGGTTCTTGCCCAATGCCACGGAGGCAGTGGCCTTGGGCCTCAAGGTATAAAAGGGTCTCAAAAGGGAACAATACATAAATCATAATAGACCCTATTTATAAATGGGAACAATACATAAATCTTATATATAAAAATTACATTTAAAAAATAACAAACTTCAAAAATCTTTTAAAAAATCAGGTGTTAAGTCAATTAATTAAATATTTTTAATTATAATATAATACAATTATCTCAATTTATTAAATTTCAAATCCAAATCACTCACTCTCTCACTCTCTCTCTCTCTCTCTACTCTCTATCATCTCCCTATCCCTTCTCTCCATCGGAGGTGGCCATCTACTCCGACGGGCAACTCCGGCAACAGTTCCGGAGATCTCCTCGACGTCTGCTCCGGTGATAGTTTCGACGACCGCTCCGACGACTATTCCGACGCTCTCGGCGGCTATTCATGATCCATCTGGCAAATTGCTCCAATGACCACTCCAACGCATGCTCTGATCAACCTACCCACCCATTCCCAACTTCCAAAAAAAGTTTCAGAATTTCAAGTCACAGTTAGTCATAATTGGTCACAACGAATCACAATTAACTAGTCACAAACGGTCACAATCGATCAAAAACAGTAACAAATCGATCACAAACGGTCACAACAAACTATCTGGTAGTCAAATCGCGATCTGGTCATAAAATAGAAAAGGTTCGCCGACATCTAGTGGTGGCAATCGAGGCGAGCCGAGCTGACTCGTGGGCTCAGCTCGTTGCCACTG